GTTTATACACGTATTATTACAACCTGAAACTATTTGTTTTATCATAGCTTTGGTCAATATTGGTATTTTGAAAAATTTTTTAAAACTAAAATGTTTCTTACACAGTTATAGTTTGTAACATCTTATCATGTACGAAATAAGGAACATGTGCACAAAATTTTATGTCATTGTATTATTATACAAAGTGATTGAGTAAACTTGCTCGGTACGAAACTTCTTTCTATTAATGTATTATCACTTTTTAAAATGGACGTCAACCTTATCTATGACGCTTACTTTAAAAACTGCGTGAAAGTTCATGTAATAACTTATTTGTTTAGGCTTTACATCTATTTTACAATAATGAAGCCTACAAGTAATGGAAACAATCTATTTACCTACTAGCATGTAGTTCTACACTATATTCGTTAGCTGCGAAGTAAAAAAACTGAGCTTAAGGATCATCAAGTGGAGAATTACGAAATTTTAAGCAGAATTTAGCCCTTTTGCTCTTTCATAATCTTACTGCTTTAATAGTGATGAATAAAATATGTAAAAAAAGCAAGATAGAACCACGTGCTTATGTCATAAAGTTTTACTATACTGCTTCTACTACTTGATTAAACCAGAAATTTAGTACATACATCCTTGAGTATTAGTTCAAAATGTTTATAAGCTAAGGTCTTCTATTCGATAGTGTTAAAACTCAAAACGTATATTTGTTATACCATTAAACTATTTTACACAAAATTTTAGATTGTTTTATGTACCATTGTTTCTATATTTAATTTACAAAAAGTCTGAATTAAACATGTAAGTTTATGGAACAATTTTTTACAATTGCATTTGTAAGGAAACACTCCGGAGAAGTTTTCTAATTTGTTTGTACTAAAGAATACTGTTTAACAAATATTATGTTAAATTTTTCAACGAATCTACAAATTATTTTGTCAATAACAGAAGGAAAAACGGGTTGACACTCGAACATGCGTTGACACTTATATATAGATTTATCTTTACGTGCAAATTGCCAGCGTTGCTTCATGTTTCCGCTCCCCTTGTTTCTCTAAGTTTTCCCCCGCTAATTGTGATTAATGTCTTTAAGCAATGTTTTAGGAGAAATTCTTTGGTTTTTGAAATTTTGATACAGACTTTAATTTATGAAATCAATTGTGTTTTATGCTTGTCAAGAATGTTTGTGTGTGTTTGTGCGTGCGGGCGCATGCGCGTGTGTGTATGTGTGTGTGCAAAATAAGAACTAGTCATTTGTTATATTCATGTTTCATTTAATGCTTAATTCAATGCATTATTAAAACTTTGGTAAACTCATATGGATTCAAAAAAAATCAATGTAGCCTATTAAATAGACAAAAATCGTAAAAATAAGAAAAAAAAAAATATATTTAATTAATAGAAATTCTGGCAAGTTAAAACAATACAACAGTATAGAGGAAGGGCAGGTTTAATTTTTTATGCATTATGATAGTCCAACTACTGTACCTGTATTACATGTAGTTTGAACTTTTTTTTTCGGGTTCAAAAGGAGTATTTAACATTGATGAATTTCACAACCTATGTCAATTGTGAAAAATAAACTTAGTTAAACATACGAACATTGAAACCTTATTTTTTTTAAAATACACTTCTCTAAGTTTTCTATAATTTATTTAAATTAGTTCCTAATTCAGGTTGACTATTTCAGACTGCTGTTTTACTTTAAAGTGAATATGGATAAAATGTTTATATACCTTGTTCCTTGTCCCAACATTGTTCAAAGCTCGATTTAGTAGCCGGTTCATGTGATTCTTGTATTATGAGCTTATTACAGACCATATACTATGAGGATGAAATATAGAAATAATCTATCTATCTATATGTTTTAAAAGTAAGTCAATTTTATTACCCCGGAAAGTTAATAACAAACTGCATCTAAAACAGAGTGGATTTCGGAAACTATATAAATTTAACGTTAATTGAAGTAGAATTATATTTTTAAAAAACGGTTACTGTTAACGCAGAAACGCATAATCAGATTACGGTGATAACTGTTGTGTTCTAAATTTTTTATACATTTCCTAAATTTAAAATACATTTCCATTTATTTTGAAGGCTAACTGGACGATCTGTGTACTTAAAAATTCTGATGTACAATTATTATTACATGTAAATATGTTAAATAAAGTTGAACAGTACTTTTTTCATTCTAGGAAAAAGGTCAAATTAAGATATTATGCCAAATACCTCTAATTATCATCTGAACCGAGAATTCTATCTCGTAGTTTTCTAAGTTCTCAAAATTCTAAATATACGGGGTGCTGGCGTGTATAGTATGCAGAGTAGTGGAGCCCCACTAGTATACATATATGTTCTATAAAAATCTGATATTTATTACGATTTTACAAAAACTAATATAAATAAAAGTACATGATAAAAGTGTGACACTTTTTGTTATTTACTTATAAATAATTACGTGAGAGTACTGGTGAGTTATATCTATAAAATTATTTCGTAGTAGTGTTATCTTTATATTCTGTAGCACTAGGCTTCACTTGACATTTATTATGTAGAGCACTATAGTGTGTTGACGCGTAATTCTAATTTAATAATTTTTTTTCGGAATTCATGCAGTTCTGGTCGAATAATGAGCTATAACAAAGTTTTAAAAAATATAACCATGCTAAAAAGTACCGTGAACTCCTTTTGCCATGATGTACTTGTTGGCCCTAAAGGGCCGTTGATTTTCACTTTCTTACGTTACAGTAAATGAAAAGGACCATTTGTTAAAGCTGCATATTTAAAACTGACAAGAAATTTTTAATTAAAATTTTTTTTTTCAATTACAATAACTTACCACCAGAGCAACAAAGTCCTAAAGACTTATATCTTACTACAATAAATACAAATTCATATAATTCCATCTTTTTGAATAGCTAAAATTCTTGAGTAATCAATGTCAGGGTTATTGGATTAAACCAATTCTAAAGGAAAAAGTTTCTAAACAGATTTTAATCTCAGACCTCCTGCACACTAGCCGAGGTCCTTACCCACTCTGCACGGTCCCGATATAAGGAAATTGATTACTTCTTGTTATGGTGTGGTTTATCGCTTATTTTTAATTTCAGATTAAATTAACTGTTTATTAATTAATTTGGTTTGATTGCAAATTGCATTAGTTAATAAATTATTCAATAAACTAACTTTTTTTAGATAAAGGTTTTTTTCGAAAACTCAGAAATTAGTATAATTTAGTAGAGCAACTTTCCTATAAATTAATAAGTATTCATTTACTCATCATTTATTTGTTACTTTTACAATAAATAAATAATTACTTGCGCAATTTTTTCTTCGTTTTTTTTCCAATTTTCAAAAATTGAAAAAAATGCGTTTGAACTGTATAAAAACAACAATTGATATTTATTGTGTTCTATTCTTTCGTAATCTGTCCATTCGTGATTGTGGTGATTTTTTGACTTAAAAACGTTCATCACATAGTTAGCGGAGAAACATTTCAGAGATGTGAGAAGATCGCAAAAATATAAATGCTGACAATTGTTTTCCTTATAAGGATGTATTTATATACACGCTTTTACGCATACTTGATCCTTTCTTTCTTGTATTATTAAAACAAAAAAACTTGTGGATCTATTTAAAAGTTGAATTAGTTTATCTAAAAACAATCTTTCACACTAACAGCACTTTCTTTTTGTTATGGAGCTTAGCCTTTTTGGTGATCAAAGGTAGAAGAATTGGTTCGTGACACTGATCTATCGGAGACTGTCTCGTCTCGTTAGCTCAAGTTTACTTTTTCTTTATAGCTTCATCTAGTGTAAGGTTTGCCCAGCCCAGACCTGGAAGAGGATTGGTCATTTCTAGTTGAATGTTTGTACTTAAAAGAAGAGAATGCAGGGTCATTGGTGGTCAAGGTTTCTAGCTTTGTGATGAACATTTTTGCTCGTGACGTCTGTTAGTAAATGACCTACTTGGTTTAATAGTGGCCGGCTTTATACAGTCTTTTAGTGGACGAATCGTAGCTGGAAATGGTTGTTGAAATGTATTTAGTGTAAAGATAGTTTAACGTTAGATGGCCCTAAAAAATGAAATGATTGATGGTTAATTAGGTAACGTAAATACTTATGATGGCCCCGAATGGGGCATGTGGTGATGCTTCCAGTCATTCCTTATTAGTATTATTTTCAATGGTAAAGTGACGGGTGGGAACTTGGTTTTCATTCTTGGAGTCTTTGCATACAGAGATCGTGTGGGAAGAAAGTATGCCACTTACCAAAAAAAATTTTGTCCTCGTGTCCTCTCCCAGATAACTAACCGCTCACCGTTAGTCGGGGAAGTGAGCCAAATTTAAAGTTAAAGCAGACTATTATTATAACTAATGATTCTGTTCTAGGTATACTCGTACTGACGGTGAACTACAATGGTAATAGACTATGGTAATTGTTTGCTCGGGGATATTACAACCAGACACACTTAATTCGATTGCAGGTGGCTTCGATTTTATTTTGACGTCATTTAGCATATCCTAAAGTAAAAAGATTCTTAGAAAAACGTTAAGTTTATTTATGGCCATTGCTCTTAATTTTTTCAAGATAAAAACTATCCGGAAACCATCTAGGAAGTGTCAAGAATCAGTATGCAAAATTTTAGCAAAATTGTTTAAGTATTTTTTGCGATTAGTGATTACAACAGTTCTTGGGACTTTGCTTTGTATATCAGTGAGACTAGCAACCAGAGCCACTTGACATTGTTTACAAATTATTAGTTATGAGGTCAAAACGATTTAAAGGTTTTTTCTAATTTGTATTTTTGCTATTAAAGCTAAAATTTTTGATGACAATCTGCTATTAAGATGATTTGCTATTAAAACAAATGATTTTTAGCAACTTTTTTGTTTTGCAGTTATTTCTTTAATGGTTGATTTTCTAGAAAACTAGTTAAAATTAAATGTTTAAAAAAGTTGTTTAAAGTATTATATATTACTTCAGAAAAACTGACAACATAATTCTACAATGGCGAATTTCTACAAATTGAAGAAGGTTTTTATCCCTTTACCTTTTTGGTACATTCTTTCATACTAGGTCAAGACTATTAACTTAAACTACTGGAAAATTTTGTTAAAAATGAAATTACTATTTAAAATATTTTTATGCTTGCAATTTCAACAAAATGTTCGAAAAATGATTGAAAAGTACATATTAATGTTTTAAAAAAATTACCATTATTATACTACATTATATTAACTTGTAAGAAAGCATAGTTATTATTAGTAAAAATATATGGAATACCATACACACTAAAGTAAACACATACCTTAATTTTTTTTCTCGTTTATCTTTCATCAAATCATATATACGGTTGTGTATGCTTAACTTAAGGCTTATAAGTTTTTATATGAATTACTTGAGTACATTAGTCATGACTGTGTATAGTAATATGTTTTTTTCTTCTAATTTTTCAGAATCAAGTGAAATCGACTGTCCCTATTAAAAGTAAGTAATAGCTTATTTTTTTATAGCAACATTTACCAATTTGATGTATATGTTTTTTGTGTATTTTCAATGTTGGAGTCATGAAGTGAGTCACTGGAATTAGGCGTTGATTAGAGTATTAGAAAATAACTAAAACATCATTTTAGCATTTTTAACAAAAAAGATACGTATTATTTGTTTTTTTTAATTTGAAGTCTTATCTTCAATTCCTAAAAAAAAATTTTTTTTTTAAGGGTTCAACGAATTTCAATAATGTTTGACTGTACATTGGAAAATATTAGTACTTTGTTAATATATCTTACAATGTATTTATCATGCTATTGATTTGAGCAAAGTCAACCAACAAAAAACATTATTGTAAGGTATGATTGAAAATGACTTTGCCGCTTGTAGATAAATTAGATATTAGTTCTTATGCAACTTTGTTACTAGTCTAACAAGCAGTTCTTATGATACGTGTATATCATCAAATTTAGAGAGCTTATTTATAGACGGAAGTACTGTTCCAAGAACTCTTAGTTCATCTATGTCCTTTACTGATGGTACATAATTTTCTAATTAAATCTTGAAAATTCGAAGAATATAGGTTTAGAGAAATTTGAAACTATTCGCAAGAATTGAAAAAATCTTTCCCTGGGTGGGGAAATAAAGTTTAAAGTTTCTCCAAACTTATATCTTTCGGCTTTTCATGATTCAATTAAAAAATTATCTATCATCACAAAAAGACATAGATAGACCGAGAGTGCTTATAACAGTACCTTCATCTATATACGAGTCTATCAATTTAATGATGCATACGTATCGCAAATTTTGCTTGTCATTCCAGTGATAAAGTTGTATAAAAACTTTGAAACATACACACAGTGAATGTTTTAAAAGAAGGGCTAGGAATTATATATAGGACTTACATGAAATAAGTGATGAACATATTAATGAAATATATTTCAAACATAGTAATAGAGTGCATGTTAAATGGAATTAACTTTTCCGTTTTATACATGGTTATGTCAATGATTTTTAAAAAAAGTAAAAAAATTGTATAAACTGTTTGTAGTATCAATGTATGGGTACTGTCTCGAGAAATAAAAAGTTCGACACTGTCACTCTTAATACGAATACGTTTATTTCACGCTATCTTGAGTATATACTATCTTTAGTCGCTACAATCTTAAATACAATCGAAAGCTGAACTAAAAAAGGCAAGATCAAATCAAAGGTTATACAAAGCAGATAGTGTGTGTAAACAGACTGACTGACCGCGCGGAAATTAAAAAAAAAAAATTCATACAATACAACAGTAGCATCGCAGCGTCTCAACTCCTAGCTATTGCGCATGTACAGAAAATTTAGTTACGAGCGCCAAATATAAATCTCACACTCCCTCACATTCGTATCTTCTAAATTTTAATGTTACAATGAAATGACTAAAGGAGTATTGATTTATTAAAACTAGTTTGAGTGAATAAACAGCCGAAGATGGAGATCATGTTGGCTTCTGGATTACTCGTTTGATTAGTTATGACGATCTAAAATATATAGAGAAAATATACATGTAGGCTCGGACTTTGTCCTACAATGTGCGATTGATCCGTTCTGAAACGCCATTGTGCGGAGGAGTGTCTGGACAGGCCATTTAAAGCTTAGCTCTTAACATCTGGAGAACTTTTATTGTTTGACCTCCTTTAAACTATGTGCCTAGATCAGTTCTTAAATAGCACATCTTTGCATTAAAGCCGAGTAAGTTTCGTGCGCTGGTCACAAATTTGTCCAGACAACTTCCTTCTTCACTTTTCACTTTTACAGGGTATGCTATCGTCAATCTGGAGTAGTTGTCCGTGTGTACAATTATAAGTTTGTACCCTTTAGAATGAGTGTTTGGACTAATTGGTCCCATTGTGTCGGCGTGAATTATCTCAAGTGGCTTAGATGCCCTCTCTCTTTTGGTGTTAAAAGGCAATCTTTTAATCTTAGTGATTTGGTACACCTCCTATATTGCAATGAAGTTGTCGAACATAGCCTTATTTAATTCTTTATTGTCTGGAAACTTTCTGTGCAATGTCTTAAGCTAGTCCACTGACGCATGCCCGAATCTTGCATGCCAGAGCATGGCTCTGTTACTTCTTTCAAATGTTCTGTACTTTTCTGTAAAAGGACTTTGAGGCTCTGGAATCTCACCAATTATAATTTCTTTATAATCATTAATTTTTCTATCTTGAACAGTTTTCTTAAACTCTTTTTCTTGAGTGGTATCCAAGCAAACTCTTTTAGATACATTATTTAAAGTTCCAGGGTAGCTCCTATCAATTGTGCTGACTTGCTGAACCTTCGTTATTTTTGCTGCAGAGGCATTTCCGGTCATCAAGAAATCTGTATATTCTTTGCACTTCTTGTTGTTACCTGTGCTTTGGCCATCTTGCACTAGTTCCACTATCCAGTAAGGACTCTTATGGACGCCTGATATTATTGTTTCGTTCCAACATGGGTCGAAAATGTCTAGTTTTGTATTATCTAAGCACACACTCATGCCCCTCTCAGCAAACTGCCGAAGTGACAGCAAGTTTCCAGCAAGCGCTTCTGTACATACGACTTTATCTAGGACTATCTTACTTTGGTTATTTTTACCTGAAACGCACCCTTCTACCTCCGCTCTGGAGTCCGTGGAGGAATCTTTGTTCACGCATTTGATCAATTTTTTTTCACAATCTTTAAAATTTTTAAATTAAAGTTTGTATTTAGTAAAATGTTCTGTAGCACCTAAGTCTGCCACAAACTCAATTTTGTTTTTGTTTCAATTATTATTTATTTATTATAGTTTATTATTATTATAATTTAATAGTTCTTCCTCCATGTGCGTAGAGAGCAGAGTTTTGGGGTCAACAACAAGCAAACCACTACATGCATTAGATCTAGGCAACTGTATATTATTTTTACCTTCTTTGACTCGTTTCTTGTTATCAACCTAGGCTTTCTTGTTGTTATTTTTCGCATGCTGCTTATCATTTTTCCGTTTATTATTCTGTCTATCCTTATTATTATTGTTTTTATTACTATTACTACCACCACCATTACTGCATTTAAAATCCCAATCGTTAGACTTATTTGAATTACCTCTGCATATGCCAATGTATTCTCTTGAGTTTTGAACGAATCGTTGGCAGGTGTAACAGCACCTCAGATTTTGCCCCTTCTTCGAGCAGTCGCTTGAGTAGTGGCCTTTATCATTGCATTCATAACAGAGGGTGCTAAATGTTGCTGCGTTTGTGTTTGGCACGGTAGCAGTGGATCGAGAACCTGCCCCACCTTAGCTTGGTCCAGCTCCAGCCCCACTTCGGCTTGCTCCCGAACTAGCTGATGATAGTGGGAGGGATCCTACAGCTTCCTGTTTTGAAATATATTGTCGTAAATACTCATAGGATAAGCCATCCCCGCTTTCAAATAATCTATTAAATCCTGCAATTTTTACGTCTGGTACTGCGTGGACAATTGCGTGATAAAAGCTACCTTTTTTCGCATCTTAAATTTTAAGTCACATCTTTAAAACATGAGTTTTACTGAGTAGTTCGAAATCTCTTGTTAATCAATCAAAAATTTCGCACAATTTAGTAGCACTTTTTTTTAGGGTCATATCTAATAGAGTGACTTTTTTTGCGTATCTGATACGCATTCATTTTTAAATCGCTTTTTTTCATTTCTTTGATTTATTGTATCATTATGAATGGGTTAGTAATATGATGAACTCTGTTTTGGTAATCTAGAGACAATCTACCTTGTATTACGTTTAAAGCCTGTTCTATATCATTCTCCATCTTTTCTTGAGTGGTATTTATAGTAGCTTCTAATTTTGGGTCAATCGTGTGAAATAATTTTTAACTTTGCCTGTGATTGTTTTAAAAATAATTTCCTTTTGGTTTCATGAGTGAGGGAATAGTTAAAACAACCTGAACTATCTTTATTTATAACTTTTATCTTGAAGCTGTCGTTGGATGTACTACGTCCAATCGTTAGTGAGTTATTGACGGAGTCTTACTTCAAGTTGATCAATTGCTTACTTTGTTTAGGATCTAGGGTAGAGGTAGTAAATTCATTTTCTTCTTGTATTTAGCTCCTGGAAAAGTCACGCTTAAGTTACCTCATTATGTTTTGTTGAGCAGCTAGACGCTGCTCAAACTCGGTTCGGAGTGCCTCTTGAGCCTTGTTGTTTTCCTCTCTCTCTTTTTCAATAGCCTTTTTATGTTGTGAGGCGATGACCTCAAACCTCATCGACATCCAAGAGCACTGTTGATGTCTCTCTTCTTCAATAGAATTTTTCATTTCATTAATTTCTTTCTTAGAAACTCCGGGAATTTCGTTTCGTGAGCTTATAAAAATATTATACTGAGGGTTTTGAGAGGTTTTTTTCATTAGTTCTATCTTTACTTCATCATTGGCTCGCACTATTTCTTTTTTTAAATTTTTTATCTTTGTCTTTAGACTGTCTTTTCTATCTTTCAAATCTTGAGTTTTATCTTTAGTCCAGGTATCAATCAAATCTATCTTTCAAATCTTTGAATTTATCCTTAGTCGAGGTATCAATCAAATTTATCTTTCTATCTTCGGATCCTTTACTTAGAATACGCTGTTGTTTAGGGACGAGTCGAATCTAACCAGCACATTTTTCAATCAAATCAAACAGGTCTAGCATGCCTCGATTGTGATGTGCATCTCCTCCTAAAATAACCCAGACCATGTTTTTAGAAAAAAAAATAAGACGATTATCAGATAAAACTGTGTCCCAGGAAAAATAAAATCACAAGTAGAGCGCACACTCGAATGCAATGAATGCGCGCCACCTATGCTATGAAACGTGCTACAATGGACGGCCTGAACATGCGAGCGTAACATGTCTGAGGCCGTGCACTATAACAGCGTGAATCTAGCACTTTAGGACACAAAATTAATAGATTTTAAATTAAAATTACTCAAGTATGCAACAGCCTCATTGTTTACGGTAAACATGGCCT